TTATTACATCACGGTGAAAAAATCTTTTAATACTTTTGATTTAGTTTTAAAAATCAAAGAAAATGGATTTCTCTTTCGTTTTTCTTGGGAGAGATTTTTTTTGAAAGATCTTTCTTGGTCTGATGGCGTCATTGAAATTCGTCGTAAAAACGCGAAGAAATGGAAATAATACAAACGTGTTAATGTGACGAGTTATTTTTTCCATTGACACGGACCGCGATGGTCGAAGGATGAAGGTGGGCCTACTTCTTCGTTTAACACCTAACCGTCTTGGGTGGTCTCGAGAAAAAGGGGACGAGACCTGAAGAGAAAGACTCCAAGGGCTAGGCAAATATTTGACGTTTTAATTTCACCTTGGTTATGCGCGGGCCAGTTTTTCAAGAAAAACAATGGGACAACTAGGATTGGGACAACCTCGAACGACTCTTTTTAGTCCATCTCCTTTCTTTTTCTTCCAACCCAGGAGTTAAGTGATTATTAATGACAAACAAACCCACAGGTCCTTTTTTTTCTTTTACAATATCATCACGTAGACACCTACTAAAAGAATTTCTTATCATATTTTCTTTTATTAGTAGATACGTTGTGACAAGTGTTCAAGTTCACAGCTTGATTGTTTTGATTCACGAGAGGATGATGTCCGGAAAAGAAAAGGGGGAGAGGATGCGTTGAAAGGAAATAAAAACAGCACCTAAACGAATAAGTCTTAGAAAAATATATTGACGCATTAAAAGTCGAGTACAAATTACGTTGTCGTCTCGTTAGAGTGAATCTTAATCAAATATATTATTCTTAGGTTCGGTGTCAGTATGTCTAGTTAAGTTTCATTATTATTTTAGCTTATTTCGTATACAAATAAAGCGAAATGATGTGGACGTTTTTGATTTGGAATGTAGAAAATTCATCTTTTTCCAGTAATTATCATATTTATCAGGAGATTCTTATGGGATCTATTCGATTTTTTTTGTAAAAATATCAATGATTTTATTTAATTTAAGGCCTTTGGGAAGACTTTGTATTGAGCCAAACTGTAATGTAAAATTTTATGTAATGTTGTTTGCATAACACCTTTTCAAAATCTCAACATAATAAAAATCTCCCAAAACAATTCTTTGTACCTGTAACACAGAAACAGGTTATTTGTAAATCATTGATAGGTAAAATTAAAAAGCTTCAAGGCACATCTACTTATCACTACTTTCTGTACTAACTACAAAAAAATATGTAACAAATTTGATTATTCTAAGAATAATTTTTTTTAGATAAAAAAGTAACAAATAACAATTTTTCTTCCTCAAAAAAAATATCAATAAATTTATCACCATATTCTAAATAAAAATAATACTTTTATAACCATGATATAAAATGAGTTTTTAACCATATATTACTAAATTTATTTCTACAACCTAAATTAATAACCTTAAATATACGATGGTTCCAAATTAGTGGAATACAGAGCAACAAGTAATTAAAATATTCGAAATATAATCTTTAATGATGAAGGAATTTCAAGAATACCATGTAAAATATTAATGCTTTTTAAAATATCTAGATTTTTGAAATTTTCTTGAAAGTTTTAAATTGGTGCATATTGCGTTGGTAATTTACCATCTGGAGAATGATTGTTAACTCAACCTTTTACAAATATAGCACTTAATAGATGTTCCAAGGTCGAAATGAGTCTAGCAAAATTTACTTTATTCACAGTACGCGCGATATATCACGCTCAACTTAAATGAGTTAGAATTGTGAGTCAGAATAAAGCTTAAAATTAAGGCTAAAAGAATACGGTTTGGTGACATCAACTATGAAAGTGTTTTGAGATGATTTACTGATTTAGATAGTTGAGCCATTGAATAATTCTTCAATATCATACTCGAACGAAGATGATTGAGTCCCTTTATCAGAACTAAGATGCAGAATAAATCATGTTAAAACATAATCAACCATGTCATTACGGCAGTCATCAGCATAAATGGTCTAGCAAGGAATGAACGAGACCAGTTCAAACACTCCATCTTAACACAGTTCTACAACTGATAGGTTTATGGCTTGAAGCAAAACAACTTTGTTGGAACCCACTGCCTAGAGATATCTGCCTCATTTTATTCTTTAAAACGTAGTATGCTTGCATGAAACAGAATTCAATGTCTTAGGCTTCATGGTCTAATTAATTTAATAAAATTTTATATTACATAATAATATTTTATAATAAAGTGTCAGCGAATTAGTAAAATTTAGGGTATGCCAATTAAACTGCAAGACTTAAATCGAACATGAAACACCACGCCGCAGGGTACGAATGCATACGCTGGTTGTTGTAGATAACGTCCAAAATAGATCAAATAAACAACCATCCACGTCAGGTGCGTCAAATTTACAAGCACGTGCAATTGGAACACGCTCCACTGATTAAAAAAGAAGATCTCGTTGTCATATGTTCACTTCGTTCGCTGTAACATGTCTATCAAATCTATCAAACTCAGTCTAGCGTATCAATTTAGTGTTTATGATAAATTTACAAAATGTTTTGATCAGTTCGATTTTCTGCATTTACCAGTAAAAGATGAACAAAATAAAGTTATTTATTTCAATAAATATAGACAAGGAATTTGGAATAGAAAAGTTTGAGTTATCAATATACAGTGTGTTAATTAATTATCGTACCCGACGTCATCATTGTAAGTATGCAACCAATATCACAGTGTAATACGCAAAACGCGTATTGCAATAAAAATATTGTGATATTGGTTGCATACTTGCAATGATGACGCCGGGTACGATAATTAATTCACACACTGTATTTGTATGTTCAAAATAACCAAATATGATGATTCACTGATTAGGTGCAAAGATCGGCTTAGCTGAACAGAATATATACCCTCACACAGAAAAAGATTTGGAATCAAAATATTCGTATTATACCAAAGTGAGAAAGTTATTCTTATGGGAATTCAAATTACACTGATTAACCTATATGTAGTAGTCGCTTTGGAACTATTGGATTAACTTCTAAGCAAGGGTTATTATTATTAACTCAAATATAAGAGGCGAAACTAAGCCGATAATTTTACACATCAGTAAGGTAACTTGTGTTAATGCACCGAAAAAACCAAAAGAAAAAGCTCTCAACTTTCTCCTAAATTTGGGAGACCAAATGATGGAACAATATACTACAGGAAGAGAAGTTTGTGGAAAGAAAACGAAACATACCGAGATTCTTCGCTCACGATTGTTTGAACGACATTTTCCAGATCTAATGCTCCCGAAAATAGAAAAAAACCAAAAAATGTTGCGTAGTATGTTCCGAAAATGGAAATAGGAAATAGAGTAGATATTGATGTACTGATCGTCATACTAGACTTTGTCCCTTACTTTAAAATATATCACACGAGAGACGAAAGAAATTAGAAGGCATGAACAAAATATATAGTAGTATGTTTTTATTTATACAGTCAATAAGAAAAATATAAGATGCAATATACAAAAATATATTTCCATAGAAACCAGTGCGTACCTACTTACTTTGTACCACATAAAATGCAACATGTATAAATGTTTCTAGTTCTAGGTCTAATGTTAGTTCTAGTTTTACCCTAGCATTATCACTAGAACTAACACAAGTCCTAGAACTAGAATCATTCGGGTTTAGCCGTCTTGAGAGACGTGCGGCTAAATCCGAATGTTTCTAGTTCTCGGTCTAGTATTAGTTTGAGTTTTGCACTAGCACTATCACTAAAACTAACACAAGACCTAGAACTAGAATCATCCGGGTTTAGCCATCTTGAAAACCCGAATGCTTCTGGTTCTAGATCTAGTGTTAGTTTTAATTGTTATTCAACGTTAGATTGTGGTATATTTTATGGAACGAAAAGTAGAACTACCACTAGATCTAGAACCAGAAACATTCGGGCTTAGCCGTGCGTTTCTTAAGACGGCCGAAAATTCAGGGTTATCATAAGGACGTCACCTTTTTCCTAGCAAAACTACCCACTATTAACCTATGTTGCATTTTATGTGGGACAGTGTAAGTGCATAGCAGTTTCGTAATCATGGTTAAAATTATATTATTACTCTTGTAAACATACTATCTGAATAAATAATATTCAATGTGCAATTTTTTTGTAACACTATGCCTAATACGAGACAATTTGTAATGTAATGCATATAAAATGGAATAGTACACGAGTGCACTTTGCTATTTGACGCAATGTAAATTTAATACCAAATACCTATTTATCTAAACAGGAAATGTCATCCAACGCAAGATTAGGTAACGTTTTTTGCTAGGAAATAAGATTCACTGAAATAAAAAAGATATTTTCTGAAAAGTGAAGTTATGTTATGGCCACTAAAAATAATCAGCAATCATTTTCAAGTGAATTAGATCAATCTGAATCTACGTTATGGAGTTGTTACAAAGATATTGGCTTATCCAGTAAATATACTAAAAACTAAACTCTCCCTATAGTTGCATCTATGAAGACAAGAAGGAATAGCTTATTACATAACAAAGTACAAAATACATAATAATTCTAGAGGATTGACTCAATTTAGAGGCTATTATTTTGAACGAGTAGGCAATGTACTATATGTTAAGTTGGACAACATTTTCCAAATTTTAGATGGCCACCATTATAAACTGCAATAGAAAGTGATGATTAACCTGTAATTAATGTCAAATTTTCTAAAGTTTAAATACGTTTTGTCAATGTATCAAAATGATAATATTTAATTAGCATCACGTTAGGTTAACAATATAATATGTTACCTAATAAGAAAAAAAGTTATAGTAATATTGTATATAATTTCAATGTTGCTTTATATCCCACTATTTTAAAACCTTCCTTTATATATTTAAAATGAGTACATTAATTCCATTTTTTTAAATCCATAAATAATTAAAGTGCATTTTTATGAAAATATTCTTTAAGTCTTATTAAGTACTAAGGTCTTTCGTCTTTCATCATTTTTCAGTTCATGAAAAATCCTAATTTTTCTTTTTTTTTACAAGTCAGTAACTGGTCCAGATAAAGTAACCCTTTGTGGTCCTATGGAAGCGCTTCCGGTAGTTGAAAATGTGTCGCAAGTAGACGTTTTGCAATCGTCCGAAATCGTTTCGTAAGACCCTATTTCTTTCCTCCTTAGCAAATGCGACAGTTTTTTATCCAGCCTACGGAGTTGAAAAATTAAAAAAAAATTTCTTAACTTATCTTTCAAGACAGTTTTATATTAACTTATCATTGTGTAAATACTCAACGGCGCGAAGAATTCGTACGCGTTTGGACCGCTTTTCGCGGAAAACCCATGACGCAAAGTAAATAAAGCGTTATTTTTTAATATTACTGAAAACCGAGCCCTTTTAACAGTCACGCATTGATATTTATAACTTTTGATATCGACGCGATTAAGTATGTAAATAAAAAATAAACGTTTTAAAAAGTAAATAAATCTCAAAAAGACTTACTGTTGCAATTTTTGTTCTGATTCTTCTTTCTTTGCACGAGCATCTTGAAGTTCTCGGCGTAATTGAAGAGCTTCACGTTCTAACTCGATAACTTGATGAGCTGAAGATGTTGTATCTTCAATTGTTGATGATGATGGTAAAGATATTCCATCTTCAGACCTATTATTATTAGAAATTATAGAAGTACTTTTTTATTGAATTGAGAATGGGTTTGAAATAAAAAGATTATTTTTTTTAAACTATACGATTAAAAATCCTGAACGTAGGCATTTTTAATGTAAAAAGAGCGAAATAAAAGGTACGTTATTTCCAAACTTCCGGTTTTCGAAGTGGTGTGTACTTTGCGGTGCGCTGCTGCTGCTGCTGACTGTACACGTTTTATCAAATTCGAGGAAGTGGCTTCGACCAGGCACGGCCCTCCTGAATACGGTTGGGGCCGATCCCACAGGATATCGCGCGCACGTTCCCGTTCGCGCCCGTCCTTTTCGAGGCATGCCTTATCGCGTGCCATATTTTCTACGGGACGTTTGAGCAAACATGGTCGACCCCAACGACTACGACTACGAAAATGTTGGCCGGCGCGAATCACCAACCGAAAATTACACACCAAGAACGACAAAATTTTGAATTATTAAATGGAATAACGAAAATAAATCTTATTAAAAAATATTGCGAGGATTTTCTTATTGATATTGAAGCAATTTTTTATCAACAAATAAACATTATGGTTTCTTGTAAACAAATAAACAGGTACTTTTAACTTACCTATTACTCTGAGATATACTAAGATTTTTGATTTGTTCCTCTAATTTTGAAAGTCGATCGTTGTTTCTGGATTTTTCAGTAGCAACTTGAAATTGATTCTGTAAAAAAATACACATACTTCATTAGTATTTGAATTAAAACAAAAGGAACTAAAAATTTAGTTAAATCACACCAAAATCTTAATGCAATGATTTTTCTGTTTTTATATATTTTCAATATTCATGTATAAAATAAAAATATTAAATGCTTAATCTTTTTTAATTAACAAGTTCATCCTAATTATTCAAATATAAAATTGCCATAGTATAAAGTAATTTACACTACTGAAAAAAAACAAGAAAAAAAATCTACTTCTTGTGGTGGAACAAAACGGACCGCGAAGATGAACGGTTGCTGTTGCGAGCTAATTAGTGTCGGTAGTTGGTCGCACATTCGTATTTACAATTGTGATTAATAGCTTCCATGGTCGTTTAAGCGTGTTTTCTTTACGGCACTCAGGTTTTAGTATCTCTTCGTATGTTCGGTAGTGAATACCACCTTCAAAAAATTTGTCGATCTATCGAATCTATCGGTAAGTTTCTCTTTTTTATTCTCTCTTCGTGGCTTATTAATAATTCAACATCGTCACGTAGGAGTCCATCAGGTGCAAGAAGGCGACAATAATAATAAAAAAATGTGATAATAAGTTTTGCGGGAAAATAATCATGATGAAAAAAAGGTGTGAAAAGTGTCTATGTAAGAAAATACCTAACATTTTTATTTCTTATTTTTATATAAGATTTTTTTTTAAGACACGTGTTGCTATAATCTTTTTTTCACTTAATTATTTTCTTGGTTTGTGGTTTAAGTTTAGGTTAGATTTTAGTTTGTAGAGGTTACTTTGTGGAATTACTTCGATATCTCCTTAATTGCCCTAATGGGGATTTTAATCTGAAATGGACAGTACGCGGGGGGAGTTAGGGGTTGGTTGGCGGTAGGTCCGATTAATCCGGGCACAAACTCCGACCTCCATTAGGCCAATTTAGATGTTTGCGTAGCGATGGTCGCCGTCAGGGCACCACTCCTCTCTCTAAACGTATTGAGTGGAGGCGTTTTACCTCCCCCCGCGACCCCGCGTACTGAGTGCACAAGTATCAAGTTGCATACAGGGTTCAACCAACCTACCGAATGAAACGACATTCGAGGCCTTCAATATAGTAGTTTGAGGTTCCAATGTTGGAGTCAGCAGCCGGTATTAGATGAGTAAGTGAGTGGGAAACCATTAATTCTGTGATTGTGTTTACTATTCCATTAACGGTTTTTTAAATTAAATATAATAAAAGGAAAACTATAATTGTTACATGAAAATCGTTAATTTACCTTCTCATCAAATTGTTACATAATATTTATCTACAATTTATATAAACAAATGTTAAGAAATCTGATATTGATGATTCTTTTACCGTTAGGAAAAAACTGATCAATAATCCAATACTGAGACTTTTAATGTCTATCCTATTGAAGACTAAGAAGAATAAGTAACAGATCTAGATAATGACACAATAAAATTAAAATACTCCAAAAGCAAGAAGATGAAAGTCATTACTTGTTTACCCTCGATAAGCAAGCAATATTTCTAGAAGCAACAGCAACAAAGGGAGGAGGTAGAAACCTTTCTTAAAATAACTATACTACACTATATTTGTTCGTGCCATGCAAATGCTTCTCAAAGTACCACCGACCAGCCTATTAGCATTAAGAAGAGAAGCAACTGCACTGCTTAGTAGCTTTGTTACGTAGATCTAGTATACCAATCAAACAAATTCAGGGTAAATCACCTTCACAGACAAGATTGCCGAAATACCGTTATTGCGCAGAACACGCAGGCCCAGGAATTGGCTAAAATCTAATCACTTGCATACAGGAGAACGCATAATTTCATTTCTTCGATTATTACTGATCGATGACTGACAGAAGTACAAGAAACGTTAGCTGCCTCACAATCTTGGGAATAAAACCATTCGATTTTCAATCGACAATACCACTATGGTACATAAAATAAGGAAAATTTCTACCAAGGATCGTTATGGTAGAGAAGGTATGATTGTCTCTTGTTAGTACTAACTGCGCTGAATAACAACTAAATCTAGAACTACCGTCCTTGATTTATAACATCGTATTGACAATTCGGGGAATACCCCGAGTTTATCTATGAATATGAAATAGAGCAACTTGGGGAGTAATCCTAGTTGAATAGTATGACTTAAAAACATTTTGTTCGTTATATCCGAAGTCCGTTCTAACGAGGTCCATTATACCGAGATTACTGTATATTCAACACGCGACAAATACAAATATAAAAAGTTAAAGGTATTATTTATTCTTTGTGATATGTTTTGACGTGAAAATAAAAACGATTTTAAAGATCTCCAGGTAACTTTACCGTTCTCTAATCGGTTTTACGATGCGACCCGTAGCTAAAGTCTTACAGAAGAGCGGTTTAACACGCTTTTCATTGTAAATTTGTCCTCCTAACCTCAAAGAGATCGTGTCCCGGAAATAGCAAAATCGGGTTCGTTCGAGTCGGTTTTTGGTTTTAAAAATGCGGATTCGCGCTTTTAGTACATTTTACCGACCACCCACCAGGTATACAAACTCCTTCGGTTTTTGGGGATGGTTATTAACACGGTTTCGTTTTTATAACGTGTTATTTACCTGTGTCGTGAAATATTTTCTTCCTGGAAATATCAAGGATATTCTTGGAATTTTAAGTGCAAGTTATATTTGTAAAATTTTACTTTTTTTTTAATAAGAGAATATTAGGTTCTTGTTAAGGAGTGTAATAATGGTGAATAATTAGGGGGGAGACTTAATTATCACGTCAAACGAGGTGGTGTAAGCATAAATTTGAGTTGAAATAAAACTAAAAGTAGTGTTTAGATGCTGTTAAAGGCAGCAGAGTCGGTGGAAAACGGGACCCCGGTTTGTTTGGGTTAATTAAAGCGGTAAATTAAGTAATAAACCGTTTAAGGTGTTTGACCCATCATTAAAATTGGCTCTAAACTGGTTTTTATTACTTTAAGTTTCCTTTGATTACTTATTAACTAGATTTTTACATATTTTTTCAAAAACAACACTTTTTAATCTTAAGATTTATTTAAAGTAAACTAAAAGTAAAAATTTTTTGATCATAAAACTCAACATTATGACATATTTTTACTTACAGTGATACAATAAAGTCTACATACAGCCCTGAAAATGATAATATCTCAGCTCCCGAAATGTAATTCAATGAAATTATTTCCATATTTTACATAAAAACTATATAAGTTATTATTAATCAAGGGGAATACAAAACATAATCATATCTTTAACTCAAAAAAGTCTACATACAGTCCTAAAAAAAGTCTATCAGTGTTCGTTATAGCTCAATAAAAATATACAACTATCTAGCGATGAATAAAAAATAAAACTAGACTAACACTAGCACTAGACCTAGAACTAAAAACATTACGTTTAGCCGTGCGTCTCTTCAAACGGCTAAACCTGAATGTTTCTACTTTTAGGTCTAATGTTAGTTCTAGAGACAGTGGTAAGTAGCGCTAGTTAGCATAAGATATCACTATGTTGTATATTTTTATTGAACTCAAACTAGAACTAACACTAGACCTAGAACTAGAAAATATCGGGTTTAGCCGTGCCTCTGAAGAACACGAATGTTTCTAGTTCTAGTGTTAGTTCTAGTTTTACACTAACACTATCACTAGAACTAACACTATCACTAGAACTAACACAAGACCTAGAATAACTCGGGTTTAGCCGTCTTGAGAGACGTGCGATTAAATCTACTGCTATAGCCTTCACTTCGTAGCACAAGTCGAACTGTTTCGACTTTGTATTAAAATAATATAACTTCTAATATCCTTCGTTTAAAAAATTCATTGAATTACATTTCAGGAGCTGGGATATTATCATTTTCTGTGGTGTATGTAGACTTTATTGTATCACTGTATATGAAATTAATGTAACCCTATTATGCTTTATATCGGTCTGGAAACAATTACAGTAATGGAAATCGACCTTGCATTTTACTTTTGGCAGAATAAAGACGTTTTTGACATTAAATGACATTATTTATTAAATGTTAAATGACTACTGGATTGGCAGCAATAAAAACATGATATCAGCGGTTTTCAACCCGTTTATTAACCCCTTAATATTCGCAGTTTGTAGAAATGTTCGGAATTAATTCAACTTTAACGTTCTATATCTTTGTGATTATTAAGTTGTGGTTAAAACATTATTGAGAAAATATCGTCAATTTGGCACTGTATGTTCTAAATCACCCTGTATATGGCACCAACTAATACAGAACGCAATGGCTGTTCGAATTTGTATACATTAAAATTATTAATTCAAGCAATTTAAAGTGTAAATATTAAAAATTTTTCATATAACGGACTTTTTGCTGTAATTGACGTTCCCTATCCCGTATTAATCTTGTTATAACAAGATTTTACACTATTAAAAAAAATACATGTCATGATCTTGTTTAGATTTTTCAAGTATAGAACTTTTAGTATTGATTTTATTGAGATTTTCCATTGGGGTTAGGGACAAGAGAAAGAGATGGAATACATGGACACTGTCAATATTTGAACAGGGAAGTAGATGTTCTCATCATCCGCCATGGAATAGGATCAAATTTCTTTTCTGGTCGATATTTAGGTTCGTCCTTTAACACTTTAACAAATATCGATAAAAAAAAATAATTAAAAAAAATCTTACCATACTTAGTTGCTTTTCTTCAATCATATGCTTAACACGTGCAATTAAAGCATCTTCTCGAACACGAGCAGCCTCCCTTAAGTCCCTAATAAACTCAGCAATCATTCCCGGTTCATAATCTCTTTCGTAGTGCTTATTATTTTGTTGTTGCTTTAACAAATTAATTTCAATTTTAACATCATTCAATTCTCTGCTTAAATTTTTATTGGCTTCTTTTAAAACATTAATTTGTTGTGTCAATTTTTGTATGACTCTGTTATCGATGGAAGTTGAGCTGGAATCGCTATCATTAGGCCCAGGATCAGAAAACCGACGTTTATCAGTTTCATTTTGGTTCATGTTAACCAAAGGTAAGGATAGATAATCGTTTGAATCAAAGGAATAAGATGGAAAAGCTTGGGGAAAATTGGGTTTATTCAAAAAACTTCCTGGATAAGATAAATTCGGATTGGATGGAAACGAATAAGTGGGAAAATTAGATGGATAAATTGGAAGGGACATTGGTTCAGTTGATGTAGGATAGTTAAAAAAAGATTGGTGATGATAAAATGAACCTTCTTGATTGAGGTTAGGATACGAATTTATATTACCATATCCGTTGCATGGTGGAACGTTACATTCGTCGATACCCGAAGTTGAGGAATGCTTTTTATCACGTTTTTTCTTTTTCCTTTCAGCAATCGTAGGCGGATTATTACCGTTCATTTCAGGAGACATTTTCTTATTTCGAAGAATTTAAAAGGAACTTACTCGGTCATTATCGAATGTTATCACTATCGTGGAGTTTACAGTGCTAATCACATCGTTTATTCAATTATACAGCACTTAACGTGTTTATATGGAGGGTAATTAAATGCTTTTTAAGGACGGAATCGTTTTACAAGAATGATAAATAACTTTGTTTACTTTCACTTTGACGTGAAATTGTCAAAGTGCTGCCACCTAACAACGAAAAATTAAGAATAGGTTATGTTATTCATAAATATCAAAAATAAATATAAACACTCGTTTTAATTTGGACAAAATTATTTATAGCTGAAATATTTTAATGTTTATTAGAGATTGATGAGATGATATCTAGAAGATAAATTATTATAATTTGATATTAGATATTTATAATAAAGTAATAAAGGAGTTGACGATAACTAAATAAGAGATGGCAGCACAAGAAAAGTGTCAAATGGAATTTTAAAATTTATTGATTTTTAGGAAATTATTTATAATATAAATAATTAAAGTGATTTATTGATGATGGAAATTAATAAATTCAACTTGGAAACATTAAATTTAAAAATAATTAACGGAAAGTAGTTGATTTTAATGGTGAATATTATTAATAAGAGATGGCGGCACATAAAATTTTGGAAATAATACACAAAACTCCCATAAAACATTTATTTCAAAACCATCTTTTAAAATCCCATCAAAAATGTTGCATATCCTAACAATTTCTCACTCATATTAAAGTAATTTGTTTTATTTTAGATACATTGAGACGCATGTTGTACAAATTTTAATATTTTATTTTAACGTATTGTTGTAAATAAACAAGAAGAAAAAAAATAGAAACAAATTAGGTACAGATCTGAAAATGTGAAAAAAAATCGATGAAACTGATTAAAAATCTATTATTGCTCAAAATAATATACATAGAAACCAGCCTAAAAACAATAATTTTTTTAAACTAAAAATATCTTATTTACAATAATCTTAGATTCTAAATTTCGTTTTGTACGTTTAATTCTTTTGTGTTGATGTACAAAAGAAAAGAATCTAAGTAAAGTTTTTTTATCTAAAAGTTTTTCTTTGTAACTAAACAATAAGAAATTAATAAAAATACAGTGCACCTTAAAACGTATAGAATTATGGCAGTTCTATATTCATGATGATATAGAATTTTAAAAAAAGTCCTACTTTTAATTAATTAATGACATTATAAATTACACATTAACAATTTTTATATTAAAAGAAAAAACACTAAACAAAAAAAAATGCAATGAACAAAGAGAGCTTGAAATTAACAAAAAAAAATTAATTAAATAGCAAATGAGACTCAAAATACACATTTTAATTTGTATTTTTCCATGCCAAAATAAAAACCACCCAAAAAAAACCCGTCTTTTTATCGTAATCATCACCATCGTTATCATCATCATCATTACCATCATCATTATTATCAATCATAATTATCACCATCATCAAACTTTTTTTTGAAAAGTTCTTAATCTTTCCCTTTTCCTGTTCATTTTCTTTTTCATTTAAAAACGAAGAAAAAATTATTCCAAACTCTCGTTCATCGACACCACTGCTCACTCTCCCTCTATTAATTTTTTATCGCTGGCTAAATCGGCTCAGGCACTTCTAAAGCAATCAAGAGGTCTTCGCCTTGCAATAAGTTACTGTTTACAGGCGCGTTTACTTCGTAATCTTGTTCGGTTAGATCGAGTAACGAAGGGATGCCATTATTTAAATCTAAAAGACTGAATGAGTTCTTTCGGATTTTATTAGCACGTTCTTCAGCTTCTCGTTTATCTTTACGATTTTGGATGATTCGTGCAAACGAAAGCTCTCTTAGACGTTCTTCTAGTAGTTTTGGGTTTATTGCACCTTTTTCGTCATCCTAAGAAAAAGAAAAAAGATTAGAAAAAAATAAAAAGCAAAAAAAACGAAGTATTTCATTGTCACCCTAATTTTAAAATCATAAATTTGTTTAAATTGTTTCAGTAGTATATTGGCTTGTTCTTGGCTTTTGCTTGTCAATTCTTGTTGCAAAAAGTAATTGACAAGGAACCAGAGAAGGAACTTAAAGAACAAGATACTTAGTTTACAAGGCAAAAAATATAGTTCTTTAGAACAGAGTATTATTTCGAACAAGTTATACAAGTAATGAATAAACAAGACATTAATTCCGAAAGAAAGTGGGACAAAAACATTCTGAATCAAAATGTTCAAAACACATTTATGAAGAAGAAATGTGAATAGAAAATATTAAGTAAGCAAGTTGGCTATTTTCTATGTTTTGAGTAAAAATATAGACATTTACATTACAATTTATCAACAGGGAAAGATAGGCGATGTTTGACGATCTCTTTGAAGCTGTTACAAAGTTTCTTCTTCCTCCATAATTAATATTTCGTTGAACTCCTGCGAGATTAATTGTAGTTGTTTATTGAGATCTTTTATAACTCTCTTATCAAACAATAAATACTTGGTTTTAGTCTCTGTTAGTCACTTATTTTTAATATCAGCCTCTTTCCAGCAGTCATTTTGTCTGTTTAATCCCTTACTTGTCACTTACCTTCTCTTAACCAATCTTTGATCAGTTTCGTGCTTCTGTTAGCAGTTTCCATCTTGATATTTAGTCTCTGTAAATTTCTTCTATTACTAGTCTCTCCAATACTTCTCTTCCCTGGCTAGTCATTTTCCAACCTCCTTCCTCTTCTATGTCTAAAATCCTTCTTGACGTTACAGCCACATTCCAATTAGAATGGATTGGATTCTTGGATCCAGTCTCTGTCAGTCTCTTACTTCTATTACGAGCCTCATTCCATTATTGTTCTTTCCTGGCTAACCACTTTCTTGTCACTTTAAAATCTCCTTTCTGGTATTAAAAGTGTCCGATTTGATATCCAGTCTCCGCCATTTTTTCCTCTATTATTATTTTCAAGTCTTTTTTCTTTTCTAGACTCTGTTCGATCTTTTTCTTGTATAACCATTCTCATATCAGTCTTCATTTTCTATGTCCAGCATCATTTTTGTGGCTACAGTCATTGCTCTTCTTGATTTCCAATCTCTGTACAACCTCTCTAGTTTCATTACTTGTCTTTTTCTAGTACTTCTCTTCTCTGGTTAATCCCTTTCTTGTCACTTTATAGTCTTCCTTTTCTCTGCCAGTCTTTTTCATCCAATTTCTGCTAGTTTTTTTACTTCTATTGACAGCCTCTTTTTAGTCTCCCCCTTATATGTATATCTAAAATCCTTTTTGCCTCTTCTCTGCGCAATTCTTGATTTCAGTCTTTTTCAGTCTATTATTTCAATTAGATGATTTTTTTAGTACTACAATTATTTGTATTTTACCTTCTTTCTGTTGTTATCATTGTTCAATCTTCTGCATGCCTACCCAGTCCCTTTTCTTCTTTTTTCAGTTTTTATTTAGTTTCTTAATTTCATTATCAGTATTTTTTAAACCTTATCTTATTCTCTTTATTCCCTTTCTTGCCTTTAGAATCTCTTTTCAGTCACTCTCTCTTCTGATCAGTATCACTGTTCCCTTTTGCGTTGTTTATCCAACCTATTTCTTCCATTACCAGTCTCTTTCCAAGACTACTACTTTGTTTAGTCCCATTTTTGTCTCTGCAGTTATTTTCCAGCCTCTACTTAGTGTCTTTCTTCTGTTACTAGTTACATACCTGTTTTGTAGCTTCCCTATTTTCTGTTCATTCTCAATCCAGTCGCTATTTAACCAATATCTATTTATAGAACAATAACAATTCAGAACAAGTCAAAACAGCAAAATAATTCTTAATTTAGCAAAAAATGGGAGGCAGCTAAAAATCATAAATCCCTGATGGATACAGTATAATCTCTGAGGGACTACAAATTACACTAACAAGAATCGATGACAATTCAAATAGTGAAACTCAATACAGAGATATTTTCATTTTCAAAATTTTATGAAAGAAATTGTTAATTTATTCACTATAAATTTGCAATTATATGCAATTGCTGATCAGTTTTTAAAATTAGGGCGACAATATTTAATACCAGATTATTACACTTTACTAAAATAAAGTAAGCATGATTATATGATGTTTAACGAAACTGAAACAGTAAAGTTTGAAATGTTGTAATTGAGAAATTTTGTTACAAATAATACGAAAACTGTCGATCTTACTTTTCGTTAAATTTTACTTATTTTTTTCTTTTACCCCAAAAATAGACATTTTTTGTAGATCCTAAATGCTATTACGGACTTAACAATTATAAAGTATCAATATCTTAGCAGTACCAAATGATTATATTTATATACATATATTAAATATTTTTTGATGATTAAAATCCAAATTGAAATACTTAAAACTGTTAATTCTCAACGATTCTAATTGTTCAAATGATTCTTAACAATTTTAAATAATAATTTAACATTTCATAATGATATTAAATGATAATGCTTAAGATTTATACGTATATAAATTACGATTTGAAACTATTTTAGACGTTTTAAGATCATCATGACCAAATTTAAGATAACTCCAAATCTATTTTAAAATTTATTGAATACAAAAATGATTTGCAACAGCCAAAAAGCAAATAATTCTTACAACCATAAATCATTTTAAATCAATTTTGGATAATTTCGAAATGATAATATTTTAAAAGAATCTAAATCTTTCTTCCAACAGATTCTGATTGATTTGGAGCTCATTTTAAACAATCTCGATTTGGTACTTAATGATTTAAATTACGCGTTACAACGTGATTCAAATGATTTTTTGAAATTGAAGTAAAATGATGAAGTAAAATGTAAACAGAAAAAATGTCTATTTTTGTTATTAGGGGTAAAAGAAAAAAAATACTATAAAAATAATCAACATAATCATTTTTATTTCTTCACATCATCGATTAATAATCAATTAATTATAGTTATAATACACTCAGAAATAATTCTATATTAATAAGTAATCTTTATAAAAGATTACAAACCACCTTTAAATTACAATATTAATTTTTATCGCCTTATTGCTTAAAACTTTACAAATATAAAATTTTAAACATTAAAACATCGTTATCTACAACAAAATCAGTATTTTTTTGTTAAATAACTTTTGTTATTAATTTTATTTTAATCTCACTACATCGTAACATTAATAAAATAATCGATTAAAAAATTTTATTTTAATCTATAAAAATCTAAAAGATCAACAATTTTCTTATTAATTTATTTGTGTTTAATTTTTGTGTGATATGCCATAAATAAAACTTTTTCTTCGTTATTATCATTCTTTTAAGATTTAAAAAATACAATAATATTGTCTAAATACCACAACACGACCAGAATAATATCATTTTTTTCTTTCTTATGTATCTATTGAGATAGAAAAGGAATGTAAACGAGTAGAGAGCCTAAAAACCCAAAAAAAGTTTTAAAAGATAGAATTTTTTTCTATCACAGGTTATTATTTTTTTTTCTTGGCAGTAAAATCCCTGAAAAATTGTACTTTAACAATTGTTTTCAATATTTTCATTTTCATTTCCAGAAAAAGAAATTAAATTTAATTATGTATTAAATAAGTCCAAAATAAATTTAGGAACTTGTGTTTTCTAAAACATCTCAAACTTTACTTTTGGTTGGTGTTAAACAAATATAACCAGCGCGGATATCAAATCCATTTACCAATAAATTCATTAAAACACTATCGCTTGGTTGACTTATACACGTCGCTTTTTGGTGTTGTAACGGCCCCCCCGAATCCAAAACACTCCAATTATTTTTCGATTTTGGACGTCCTCTATTCGACGAAATTAACTGTTGAAATAATTCCGATGGGATTTTATCATTATTATTATTGTTATTTTTCGGTTCGGCTTTCGTTCGTTTATTCGACGTGTTATCATAACTTGTCGAACTTGTACGTTTATGATTTGTTGTTAAGTTTGTGGTTTTTGGTACACTTTGATCTTTTTCTTTTGTACTTTTCCAATGATGTGAAGAATCTAAAAAAGTTTTATAATCAACACATTTATTAATTTAATTAATTTATTAACTTACTTTTTTCGTAAGAATTTACAACCGTCTTTTCATTTTTAATTGACCCACCTCCATGATCGTTTGCGTTACTGTTTGTAAATCTGTTATTTGTATTTACAGGTAATAAAAGCTGTGCCAATTGGCTATCGGGTGTTGAACTCTTACTACTCCGATCGCTATCGCTCCACATTACTTCATCAGATGATAATAAAGGAAAATCATCGCATATAGTCATCGGAATATACGGCGCTTTCATTACTAAGTCTGGATCGTCATCCATTTGAAGAGACATAAATGTAGACATTTGATCTTCGTCTTGTAAAGAATCTGTAGGGCTGTTTAATAAGCTACAGTCTGAACTCTAAAATTAGTTAGGATTAATTAATTGTGTAAAAGAATAAAATAACGTTTGGAACATTACTTTTGAATTACTCTGTATTTGAATTAGATTGTTTGTTATTATTAATTAAATGATTGACAAAGTTTTTATCGCTGTGTTGTGTAACGTTTTTGAGATATTAGTGCTCGTTAAGGATGGTTCTTCAAAAATAATACTATCAATTGAGAACGATATGGAATTTTTTTTCTTTCAAACGGTTTCAAGATGATTTCATTTTTAATTTTTTTATTTAGTCCTATTAAAGATTTTCCTATCTATTTATTTTTATTAGTAAAGAAGTGTTCAGAATTAAATCGAATGATTTTGTAGCATTTATCGTTAACGTCCAAATATTATCAATTTTTAATAAATATTTATATTTTACCTTCCTGTTTCTCCTTTTTGTTAAAATTCTTTAAGTTAAGGTAAAAATGGTTACAAACAATCGAAAATATGTTATTTTTAAACACGAATTTCTACTGAAAAATACTTTAAATAAAAAAATAATTCGTATTTAATTACGTATTACTCATTTATTTTGTTATAAAAGTTATTTAAACTTTAGACGATTATTAAATGATACTCCTACGATCCTCGTCTGTAATAGACAAATTTCAAGACTTGTAGAGATTCGAGAAACAGCTCGAGAACATTCGTCAAAAGCTCTCGGGAGCAGAGAGAAATTCATATGGGTGTCTTTCGAGATCTCTCATCAAGCAAATATAGCAAATGCAATTAAGTTTAATAGAGTACCACAATATCTAGGGGAGAAGGAAGTGAAAAATAAGGATGTGAAAAATAATGTACGTCGTAATTGAGGTAAAAGTAAGAGGTCGTACAGAAATGTTGCAGAGCAAGACTTTGAATCAAGTGAGATTGAGAATTGTGAAGATGATAACAACACATTATAGATAATAAGCAAAGGAAAGACTCATATATGGGGCATCACTCCTGATTAAAATCAGTAGTAACCTCACATCGACTACCAGAAAGAGCTAAAACGGAAATAGTAAATTCTTGCTTATCAAGCGAGAGGTACAGATAGTGTTGCTTATTTGCAATCTAGATACACCAAAATGCTTAGCGCAAGCGTACTCCACTAAATTTAAAAAAACTATAACATATATAAACGTTGCAACACATTGTTAATTATATTAAATTGGAGACATTACAATGATTGCATAAAATGGGGCAAAACTAGAAAGTTGTGAAAATGTTTTGGTAAGAATGTTACTTTATTTCATTGGTTGTGATAACGGGATCATGACATTCTAATCTATATAGACATATTAAGAATTTGTATTTTAAATAAAATTTAAAAATAAATTAAGTGTTTTGTTTGTACATATTTTCATGATTTTAGAATATGCTTTCAAATATTGGAACAAAAAACAAGTAAGTCTAACAAAGTTGGGTTGCTCCATATTTATTATTTGTGCTATGTTATTAGAAAAAACTAAGCTTTCTAATCCTTGATAATCGTGATATTTTGGTTATCTACATCGATAGGATATGAATTGTTCCGAGTACTGTGCTCGAAAACGATGTCTGAAAATAATGATACTTTGAATACTGAGTCTGATTTCGACTGGGGTCTTTAATCCTAATTTGTAATCACTACAAATCACTATAAGTTTACTAAAAGCAAACATGAATTCAGAAGATGAAGACGTAACTAAACGAACATATCACTGCTAAGGAACAAGAAGAGTCACATAACATCAGAAATATTACAGGTACTAGTTGATGCCAGATGTGATACCATAATATTGTCCGTTGCTACCCAAGAGAAGTCAGCAACTAATCTTCATTTTTGGAAGCACGAATTAAAAAAAAAGTTGCTAATCAGACTTGTATTTAAAAAATTGAAAAGAGCCTTAGCGTTGATGCGAGTTTATGGTCTATATTTATCATAAAACAAACAAATGCGAGATAAAAGATTTTTGTGTAGTGGATGCAGCAACCTGACAAATATTGTGAATTTTGAACAGCTCTCTGCTGTTTGTAAGAAAAATTTAATATAACAGGAATATATAAATTATAAATAAATAACGTTTACTTCAAAAATTTTATCTCTTGTGATGAAACACAATTTTATAGGTTAGTTCTGAAAAACATGAATTGTTGAGTGTGGACATCGAATGTCAAAAACATTTTTTCTCAAGATTAATCAAATTAAAAAAAATTCTTTTGAATATCAAAATCATATAATAATATTAACGAAAAATTTGCATGTTCATTTGAAATTAAAAAAAAAACTCCATTAACTTTGTGTAACACGTACAAAAATAGGTCAAGCACCCAACATAATAAACCCTATGTTATGAATTCAAAACGTTATCTTGCAACACAGATAAGAAAAACTGTTAAAATAACATCAAGAATAAAATCGTAATTCAAAAATAGTTGAGAAATATAGTTTTTGAAACGAACCTTAGAAATATTTGGTGATAATAACTGTGGAGAGGGATCACATAAATCGCGATAAGTAAGAAAAGGATCTGTGGGGGCCCTTAAGGCTACATTATCGTCTCTTAGAAACTCTCCTGTTAAAAGAAAATCTTCGATGTCTACGAGAAAAGGGTGACTATGGTGATCCAGAGGGACACAAACATCTCCCGCAACTGGAGCCAAATGTGTTAAATCGGCATCCGGTTCGTCTTTCAACACTGAAAAATAAATGTAAAAATTAATTTTTTTGTAAATAAAATTTTTTTAAATGAAGGCCAAGGTTGTTCTATGAACCCAAAAATTACAATCAATTTAAGTTATTTATAAAGTTGTTGATAAGATTTTCATAACGATAGAAACTTGGCCTTTGGTATGAATATCCAAAAAAAATTTTGTATTAAGTAGGTGTGTCCATTTACGTCAGGTACATTTTATTTAATCGATTATGTTTTTCTTTAACTGATTGATAACGAAACAAAATGTTACTTAAAATTGATCTATTACGATTATTTTTTTTTCGATACTTACTGGTAATATCAGGTTCCTCTTCCGAAAACGTAATAAACCCTTTACTCATTTCTTCGGTTCTTGGCACGAATAATTTTGATGTGGCCGTTTGTCTTAAAGTTTGCCCAATTTCTGAGGGTCCCCCCAAAATTTTTTCTGTAACCGTCAACGGTTTATTCGGCGCTTTAACTTTCTTTGCAATTCCTTCAACAACGACCGATTTCTCACTATTATTATTATTATCCTCAACTTTCGTTTGTTGTTGTTTCTTCACCGCTTCCAATTTAATACTAGATTGGAGTTGACACGAAGAATAAATTTCATCTTTACATTCGATCTCACTGTAACCAAAAATTAACCAAGTTCCAACAAAGCGCTCCAAATAAAAAAAAAAACACTTCGTTTAGGTAACCACTTTTTCTTGAATATTTCAATATGTATTTTTAGATGTATCCTCGCGTTTTAAAAAGAAACGTTTTCGCGAATCACCAAAACAATATTCTAACCAAATATTCTGAACCGTATAGTTTCGATTATACGACGAGTTTGAACCGGACGAGAGACAGATACACGTTGTGCGCTCGTGTCGACGTTCGCGCACGAATGTACTCGGTTCTCCTTCTATTTAGTATCTATCCCCCCGGAAAAAAACGCAAACGCACGACGTCGGCTACGATACCGTTTAATACAAATTGCGTGATTTGCGATATGAACCGAAATACGAACGATTGTGGAACGAGCGTAAAATCACGTGTTCTTTTTTTTGTATTCAACTGCATGAATAAGTGTAGAGTTGGTCAAGAATTCTTTTAACTAATATTGTAAAATGTTATGAAAGATAGATATTTAATAAAATTAATTGAATTATTAGTGTAATCAAATTAATTTAATAAATGTGTCCAATTAAATTACAATTACAGGATGTTTTTGGTTTCTTGCTAGATTGCTAGAACTTATAGGTACTTGAGTGCTTCTATTTTTTTGATTATTGCATAATTTGCTGCTTACTAATTTATATTATCAATTGCCTTTGACGACACAAATCAATAACTTTGCACTTCAACTTGATGGTGCATATAGATCAGAGCATAGATAGTCTTATAAAGAGCAATTCTACAGAAATTTTTAAGTCGTTGGAAGTGTTTATGATAACAGTGTTAGTGATGAAAATATTGAGACAAATCGAACAGAAAATTGCCCAAGAACGATAATGAGACGAGCTACTCAACATGTCAGAATTAACCGAGAGACCTTGCAACCAATTGTTGTTCAAGACTTTACAGTCTTTCCTTACAACATTCTAATTGCCCAAATTAAACAGCATTTGTATTTTTCTAATACTATTGTCAATACCATTAACAATCAAAGCTGGGTACACCAACAAATAGAATTACTGCATTTGGGGGATTGTATTTTTTGTTCAGAAATGGGTGCACGACTGCATTGGACCAATAATGATAGCACTTTGAGAGCTCTTTCTCGCTTTGGAGTATCCAGAGACCATGGATATATCATATTTTCCTGATGAAGTACGCAATTAATGTTACGACACTTCAACAAGTTGTACATATCACCTTGTACATTGGAGTTACTTTATGAAATTCATACTTTTCTATAAGAAGACCATCAAAACTTCATGTATTTTGCTCAACACCATTTTTTTGCGAAATTTAGCAGATGTCTACGACATATTTGATAATCTGTCTGCAAGACAATAACATTTTGAAGCTACGAAACGAGCTCATCAATAATTGCACACAAGCTTATAAACGAGAATGTAGAAGTAAGAACATCACAGTATGCGAGTTATGCGCAAACGTTAACACAAAACGTCGAGAAGACTCTGTTGGAGACTCTCTTCATGAAACTATAAAGACTAATAGAATACAGAAATATTATATGGTTGCTCCTTGATGTACAAAATGGTCACGTACTGTCCAATGGACTATAAATATCTTAGAAGTCGTTCTTAGATCAGTAATTTTTGGTTTCTACTACCAGACATAAGTATAATGCGCTGGAAAATGTAAAGGGGTAGAGTTTTATATGAAGAACAAAATTAAAAACGCAACAATGCTTCAGGAACTTTTATGATGTTTCAGCATTGGTAACACAATGTAGTTGTTTCTATTTTGGGTAAAACTCTTTGTGCATAAAATATTTAGGATGCAGAATAGTTGGGGAACCACAGCTTGGGGTTTTCTTCTCTTTCTGGCCGTTATATTACAATATTCATGTTGAGGTTTGACTATGAGAATCTAAACTAAAGTTTTTCTTAGAACATTTATGACAAAAATCTTTGATTTGCATAGATACCATGGTACTTCGAGCACGTGCCTTAACAACTACTTTTTCAAGATAATCTTAGCCCAAGGACGGTAGAATCTAAGAGGACTGCTACATCCTTTGTTCTTTTGTAGTCCACTATGGTTAATGACGAGCCCACATACTAAATATAGTTGTGTGGTACAACTGCATGATACAAACTGCGGTCTGTGAAAAAATACTAGCAATTTATGCTGATTTGCTGCAGCAGACACTTTGCACAACACATCAAACATTTTATTTAAAACCAGTGAGCGCGAATATAAATGTGCAAGTGTATAGGCTTCAGTATAAATAGATATGATACTAAAGAGTTTATAAGAAAGCACTCTTCAATCTGGAGGGTTATAGAATTAATGCAGGTAATAAGTGTCACGCAGAAGAGTAATTCCAAGAACCAAATTAAAATAATAGCCGTTGTATGTACTATTACGTACAATATATTGGAAATTTATACATAGATAGAAGATATGTGGTACAGAGCATTCAAGGAAGGGCTGTTAAATTCAATTTGCTCATACTAAATAATACAAAGAAAACAAATTTAATAAATTAATTTGATTCAAATAATTCAATTAATAATTCACAAGCTCCTTAGTAATTATAAATGATAATTACAAAAAAAAAGAGGTTTTCTTTTCCATAACCTTTCTTATTTAAATTTTAAATTTAGATAATATCCACGTGTAAAGAACGAGTTAAAAAAATTTAAACCACGAGAACTTGTTGTATATGTTGTAAAATACCGGTTAAGTAACTTTGAGGGTTCGTTTTGTATTCATACAAAATAGACAGGGTGATTTCTTTTTCGAAACACTTCCCTTCTTAAAACAAGTTAACACTTAACAAGTAAAAATTCGATTTTATAAAAATTTTTGTGAATCAAAGAATATTAAAATTTATTAATTTTGGATTATTTTGAATAAGATGTTTTTCATGCGCAGCACCTCATTGAGGTTAACGTGTAGGGGTCGACGCGGTGTTGATTGCATAACCGAGTTGATAGAATTGTCTGCAATGGACGCTAATTGACAATTAGTAATTTATTGTACTCGACGTCGAGTCCATTACAAAATAAAATCATTCAAATTCTTTTTAATCGACCCAGGAAATGCCTTCTTTTTGTTTTAGAAACAGCTGATTCAAGCGGAAAATTGAATAACTTGGGCTTTCGAGGGACGTCGTAGGTTAGTATTCGCTTTCCCTTTTTGCCGGATCAATAGAGGAAGGCGAACTCGGAACGACCTTGACTCCAAAGTCCTACCTTAACTCTATCCCTAAAGCAAAAAGGAAAATTTGTTGTGATTTTTACTTAATAAGTTTATAACAACATAAAATATGACCCGCCTTGCTTATATTCTCTAAAGTCTTTTTTTATCTATTTGTATTAGGATTACAAAATGTGTACTTTACCGGTTCAAATCAAAAGGAATAAAACGAAATAAATATTTAAACGGTACTGTCACGTTTTTAATGCATGATGATCACTTAATTACCTCATATTTAACAACAAGGCATCACGGGAACATGGAAACAATTTTATTTCAAAATTGAAGATAAAAAAAAATTCGAAGTTTCTATTTTAAGATTAGATTACGACCTAGGAAATGTGTCATTATCAAAATGTGAACGATTATTATTAGTATTAATAAAAAATATCAAAGAGATTTGGTTTTGAAAATGAATACACAACGTGATCCGTTCATCCTGTAATCAATGTTTCTTAGGAAATTTCCGCGACATGTGATTTAAATATGAATTGTAGCAATAAAAGTGATAAAGTCAATTTTTTATTTAACTATTTAAATAATAATAATCATTAATATGATCTCCGACTTAATTTATAAAACTATAAATAAATTCCATTATGCAATTAATTTCAAATTTATTATCAAGTTAACAAATTTCATTTTGAAACATTAATTTCTTTAAGTTTATTGTAATAAAAAATTAAATGTAGAAATGTAACACTTTTTAACTCAAAATTAAATAGAATTATTAAGATTAAAATATAAATAAACGATTAAGATAAGAAAATAAAAAATCATGCTCAATTCAAGGTGTACTTTTATTTATATTTTTTTTTAAATGACCACAGGAAATGTTTTTGATTGTGCGTCCTTAGCATACGGTTCACGTGTTGCTGCCCAGCCTCCGTTAATGTTGCCAAAAATGCCCCTTTGTTATTTGCATAACAAACCTTGCTGGGCCACAACAAGCAGAATTTAGGTCACAAGCTATTTAAACAGAAGGTTCTAATTAAATTTGAAACGATTTTCATCGAAAAGTTTTGAATATATAACAAAAAGAGGGAAGGTATTCTTTGGGGATATGACGTCTTGATGATATTGATTCGGTTTGAAGCTTTCTATTTATAAATGAGAAGGTGATATAAAATTTATTGAATTTCGATAGAAACATTTTTCAAATGAGGTTAACAAAATAACTTATTTCACCAATTTTAACATATTAAATCAACAACATAGATTTACTTAAGTTTATAAAATCTGATACATGAATTATGTTGCAATTGATGTAAATATTAAATTGGAAACTTGGACGTTTTTGCGATTCAATTTTATACAATATCTTAACCAAATAGTACGGTTTTATCTAATTCGATGAATTTTGACTGTTGGTTATTTCCCACTTTTACGATATTGATCATTTTTCGATTACCCTACAAAAATCAGTAGAAGTTGATTAAAATTGTAATCTGATACAACAGAAAATTATAACATTTATTAATTAATCCAACAGTTTTTCCAATTGTATGAAACGTGTCAAGATATTTATCGTCATATTCTATTTTTGCACGAAACATTCATAACTAACAACCTGCTCAGAAATAAACACCATCATTCCTAAACGCCAGATTAAGAATAAAACAGAATCAAGCGGTTGTATTTTTCAGTTCAAATAGGATAATAAATAATGGGAACAGGACTCAAGACACGACCACACTTAAACGTTATAAAGCATTCCGATGAGGTTGTAACTTTCAATTGGATGCAATCACATCTAAATCTTTTATATTACACCCAGAGTTGCCTGCATCATTTTCATGAATCCACATAAGCTTAAAATGAACATGACAATGCAATCATTAGTGAATGCTTTGGAAGGGGTACAAATGGGGGAGTGATGCGATTATAAGAGGTGCATCCTGTTAGTCTCTCCTATCCAATTCTGGATCTCACCTCCAAATTGGTGGACCCTGAAATCCAGAGCAACCCTGTAGAAAATTGTGATAACCAATCCCAGTAGAAAGAAGAGACAGAAAAAACCAGAGCTGGAGAAATGACCCTTCCAAAATCGAAACTGCCAAACAGACCCCAAGGAAGTGACGAACAAAGAATACTGATTTTAAAAATAATGACATAACGAACCGTGAGGACTAAATATTGGAGCAGAACTCTTCAAATATTAGAAAATATCCTACCAAAGTACAAGGCTGGGATAACCGCCATCCAAGAAGTTAAACGCCTTATAAAAAAGATTAGTAGTTTTGAATCATAGCGTAACAGAATGTGCAGTCTAAGGATTGAGGGAAAGTTTTTAAATCTCCAAGGAGGAAAAGAGCATAGAAGACGGTGCCCCAAATCATGACAGAAAATCATAATTGGAGATATCAACGCTAAAAAGAAGCAAACAACAGTACCATGAACAGGTGGAAAAGAACAACCTTCAGCACCTTATTTAAAAGAAAAGACAAGAGATACACAAGGCACCCTGGGTAAGGATAAGGACACATATAAAGTGCAAATTAACTAATCTGAACAAAAATGGAGGAAGTCGTTACGATTTGAATGCAATGAATCTATCTGAAATCAACAAACATTGATTTAAATGTAAATTTTATCAACATTGTATTAATGGATGTTGATTTAAAAATGAATACAAATTGACTGAAGGAATTGACTTAAAATTAACTAACATGAAGAGAAATTAAGTTCACAATGACAGATATAAACAGAAATGAAATGAAATATAAAATTGAGTTCAAATTGCGTCAAAATTACCAAACTTCAAGAAAAAAGGTTATAATAGAAAATATACAGAAATGGTGTAAAGCCAGAAATTGTTGAGTATTAATTATTTGTTATTAAGCCAAATTAACCTTGTTGAAATATTTATTTCCGCCAAAAAGAAATTTACTGGAAACAATCTTATTAAAACTATATTTGAGCAATTTGAAATGACTATTTTAAAATGATTAATAAATCATAAACATATTCACTTAATTTATTTAAATTAGTTATTTTAGCAAATAACTTGTATGGTAAATGTATCGATTAGAATTATTATTTTTCAACTTTTTCTTATAACCCATTCGGTTTCTACTCGATTATAATATGTCAAGGCTAAACAAATAACATTTTTTTCAAATTTTCTGCATTTCACAATTAATTTTTTTATACAAATCAACTTTTCCTCTAATGCTACTTTTAAATTCTATTTTTTTTTAAGTTTAAATCTTATTTAAAACCACTAATTATCAATAATTTTTACACAAATATTAAAACAAATTCATCATAAACATATTTTTTTAGTTCTATTTCCCAGTCCCAACAAATTTCCGTTACTAGAAACTTTCTAGTTGAGTACATGTCTGTAATCACGTCATACAGGCGCACTCGCGTATATTTTGCGAGGTCATTATAGCGACAATAGCAACAGGTAGTTAAGTCAGTAATTTTACACCAGTCCGAATGACTTGGTTACGTCATATGACACACCTCCGTCTTGTTCAACGAAGAAATTTCTCGACAGAAAAGTCAATGAACGGATACTTCTCGAGAGAAGTTACGTGTGACGAAAAGTTGTGAAATGAAAACCGCAAATTTAATGATCAGCTAAAAAATAAAATATTAATAACAAATCTATTTCTGGTTAAAGTCATATTGGAAATCCCATAGCCATTTTTTTCCAATGAAGTGATGAGAAAAGTTCATAGAACGATTTATGTTATCGTTTGAAATTTCGGTGGTTATCCCAAAATAAATTCTCGTAAATCGATTCGGTTGGAACATTTTTAATCCTGACCGAGTCGAATATACAGACTAATTGATATTTTGGTTTATGAAAACGTTCAAGCTGGATTTATGCCAAGGATAAATGAGAAAAAAAATTAGCATAATATATGTGATGATAATGGAAAATTTTACCCCGGTTCTAAAGAAAAATTTAAAGAGTCTCAATTGTATCCCGGTTTTTTATACAAATTTCTTTTCGAGAGCCAAATTGTTAAAAAAAGAAATAAATAAAACTGTTAAAAACATAATAAACTTCTTTAAATATAACGAGAATAAACAGGTTTAAGTCTTTAAAAATTCGTCACACGCAAAACAAATGTTTTACATCTTTTTATCGTTTAACCAAAAATATTTAACAACAATTCTCAATTGGTTTACGCTATTTACATCGTAATCAAAAATGTTTTTAATGGACTTTTCACGGTTTAACAAGTATGTTTTTTAAATTACAGTTTACGAGAAGGTCGATTAAATTATGACCAAGCATCAATTAACGATTGTCCTATTTTCATTTTCTTTAGTATTACTTTAGACGAAATTCTACATCAAATAAAATTCTTTGATTCACAAAATCTTTTATTGTCGAAGACTATGTTATCATGGAATCCTTTTCGTAGAATTTTATATGCCATAACTGAACGAGATCCTAATTTATTTACATATTTGAGTTGTGGCGTCGTAGCATATAAAATAACACGAACACTGAAAGTAAATAAGAAAAAAGCAAGACCTACCTTATGAGACTTTCTAAACGGAATGTTTTGCGGGTGGAAAAATTAATTAAAAGAGGATTCCATTTAAGTATTAAAAAGATAACAATAAAGTTACTGACCTTATGACGTAATTCACACAAACGACACTCTGCGGTTTCTGCATTTTATCGTAGATGAGCGTTGCTTGAGACAAAACCCATACGTATCCACCGGTTTTCGCTAAAAACCGATACCTGCTCGTTTCACACTGGCCTTTAGAAAACACTGCAACAAAAATAGATAATTTATAGAATACTATTTTAATGATACATTAAGAAATTTAGATTGTTCATAAATATTCGACTTAATTTAATAATAAATATTTCTTCCTATAATTTAGCATTTTACGTCCTATTATTAGTCACATACGTATTCCACAGCGATGGCATACTAAATATCTTGGAATGCATGAGTACGATAGATTTAAATTTAGTAGTTTAATATCAGCTACATTATCGATCTTTCATCACATCCTGTTATAAACCTCATTTCTTTAGTAGAACACATTTTTGAATTTTTTCCACTGGTTAATTTAAACTAGAAATCTCTTAACTTAGTAAATCAATATTTTGTGTTTAAAACTTGCTTTGTTTTATATTAGATTTGTTCCAAATCGTGAATGTCGTGATGTCTAGGAATATGATTATATAGGTCTTTGGAGACTAATGAAAAAGCAGATTATTGTTTATGTAACATCATGTTTGTAAGACAAAAAACATCGCGCAAACACAGTACAATGATTTCAGCTTTTTATCAAGTTATTTAGACCAAATCGCCAAAGAAATACTTTGAATGAAGGTCATAAATTAATTGATTTATGTGGTTAGAGTTAGTGAGGCAACACACTGCAAAAAACGTCGAGGTCTCTACACCAATAAGAACTAATCAATAAAGGTGGTAAAACTGATCAATAAGAAGTAGTGAATTCATTCGCAACTTGATTGACGACAGTACTGAAAAACCTTTGACTAACCGAGAGATGAAAAATGAAAAAATTATGAACGGTTTGGATTTAGGTAATGATATCGAAAGTGACTGGGAAGAGAGATATAATTTAGATATTGAACATGCTTCCAGTAACAGTGTTAGTGATTTTAAAGAAAATGATACATGAAAGTATACATCTGATTTAGAAATCGACGATTAACTGTGTAATAATCCTTCAATAAGTGATGGCAGTTCATCTGATGATAACACTTTGTTATCTAAATTATTTTCAACAAAACAAAAACGCAAAAGGTGGAATTGTCTAAAGCTGTTAGACTATTAGAATCTAAAATGTCAGCAAATTTTTTTTTATTTTCTTTCATTCTCCTTCAAGAATGAAATTGCGGACATCAGCCGCGAGGCAATCGTTGGAGATAGAATCGAGGGGACTGTTGAGAGGATGAAATCAAAGGTTTGAGGGGTAACTTTACGGCCCCCATCAAAACTACGACGACGCCAGATATGATCGTCTTTGGAAGTTAAAGACCCCAGAGGCCGTTGGACGTATTCTTTGCTTCGAAGTATATTGCTTTGGGAAAGACTTATAAAAATGGTGATAAAAAATTATTTTATTACCTAACCAAGATAAGATAGAAAGAATTAATAAATAATTTTTTTTTTAAAACTGGGAAAAGATTTTAAACAGAATTCGTGTCATTAACCTACTAAATTCTTGGCGAAAGTTTCTATTAAAAAAATTGACAATAACAGTTTGATACACGACTAAAATTCCCATCTGGTACATCAAAAATAAATTTGGGCAGCCAAAAATAATACAAGATGAACCGACTATAATCGTTGTGTATAATTTAAAGGGTACATTAAATTTAGCAACGCGACTTCTTGTTAAAGTACCGTTTATTTTCTTTGCATTTTTGAAAGGATGTTATACAAGAGATTTTTTTAACGTGACTTCTTTTAGTAATTACTTTCTGGTTAATAAATATTCATAGCAATTGTTGAAATTGGAATGTACCAATCAACAACACCTTTTGCATTTAAATTTATAACAAAGCACAACTTTCAAAAACCATTAAGTCATTTTTAGATAATTATCTTAAAAAGTTGTTAGATTTTTAATTGCTTCTACAATTATTTTAAATCTAATAATCTAATATTATACATATACAGGGAATTTCAGATAACTCCCAATATATGAATAGCTAATAGTACAGGTATTGGGTAGTTTTGCAAAGGAAAAGTTTTGCTTGGAAAAAGTGATAGTGCTAGTGCAAAACTAGAGGTTTTGTCAAATTATATTGACATGTTGCATTTTATGTGGGATAAAGTAAATAGGTACTTTCTCCTAGTTTCTATGGAAATATACTTTTGTATATTGCATCTTAAGTGAATTTTACTGTATAAATTTCAATTTTCAACTGTAAGAAAAGTGTAATCTATGTTGACAACGTTTATACCTGTAATAGTATCACCCTACATATTATTGGATAAGTACTCAATTATACTATTGGTCAACGACCTTAAATTGAAAAAATGCTTGTTGTCAGCGCTTGTTAATAAATGTTTAATATATCGGCATCTTAAATCTCGCAGTAGATTCAAAATTATTTCTTTTTAAGCTTTTTCATATTCACCCAAATTGAACCTTTTTGGTGGTATGCCAAAGTATATTTAGAAAGATTAAGTAAAAAAAAAAGAACTTGAAATTAATCCTTGCATAAATTCTTGCATTTTACACTTGAGAAAAAAAAATAAAGCTTTTAAAAATATAAAACAGTAAAAAAAAATGATTATATTTTACGAATACAAATCTCGCTGGTTATAAAAAGAAATTACCTCCCCCTATACAAAAATTATGATTCCGGAGAGTTCAATTCAAAAAGGAGAAAACAAAACGAGTCTATAAAAATGTGTCTCGACCGTAAAAAAAGACGACGGACAGTCGGGGTATTTTTCCATTTTCATCTACGAAAATGAGAACGAATAAAACGGAAACGTTTTTTAACACCCAAGACAATGTCCTCATTAAATAAATTAACGTTTCGCAAAGAAATCGATTCCAACTTCTGTAACAACTAGACTAAAATAGAATTTAATGGAAAATAACGTCAACGACTTTTTAATTGAACGTCGGATATAAAAACTATTCCGGTTTCTTTAATCGATAACATAACAAATTTATTTTGAAATTAAAAAAATTGTAGTTTACTCTAAAAGTTTTGACATACAAGGCATAGATGTCGCTGTGACTTAATAAAGTGGACGATTTCTAGATGGCGCTAAAAGCACTGTATAAGAAATTGCCTATACTTACGACACTTAAATGCAGAGCTGATTGCTTCAGAATCCATCGCGTGATGATATTCATAAACTGATTTTCCCATTAGATCTTCTGATTTATATCCAAGAAACTCAGCTATTCTAAAATCATTCAAAAAGTGAATGTGGCTCCAGAAATAACATTTAAATCTTACTTTTCATCAGCATAAGTAATTTTCATATCGAGACTATGTTTAGTTAAAAACGTTTGATGTGGTAAAGGAGCTTCAATATTAGAAGGATGAGGAATTGGTTGTCCTATAGCTATTAGACATTGTTGCATGGTTCCTTTAGCATCATCTTTATTACTATCTTTAATGTCTTTTTTAAAAGATTTTTGTACCATGTGACCAGTCACATGAATAACCTAAAAAATATTTCAATTAGGTTTGAAATTAATATTGATGATTTAATGTTTACCTTGTAGGTAGCACTTTTTAAATTCACAGATCTTCCTTTACTCGTCAATGTACACTTAAGCCTAATAAAAAACGATTTCTTATCTTGTTTACTTCCATGGGATTTTGTTGAAAGAATTTCTCTAATTTCATCGTGATCACAAGGATGAGAGTATTCATAAACTGTTTGACCCATTAAATCAATCTATAAAAAAAAAAATTATTAATAAGAGAAATTTAATCACTGGATGACCTTGAAATATATTTCATGTCTTTAAATTTAAGTTTTATTTTAAGAGAACATTTTTTTGCTACTTAAAGAAAATATTTACAAAGTTAATGATGGATATCTCTTATTTTGCAGACACTCTATATATTTAGTTATTTGATGAGAAATTTAGGTTCAAACAATGAATTTAAAAGAAAGAGATAACAGAAGATATTTTTACTTACTTGTGAAATACCTAAATATTCGCTGACGTTTTCTGACAAATAAACAAAATCTCCTTCTGGTGATAGAACTAAAAGGAATCCTTCCAATGATTTTAAGAAGACGCTTTCATCAAGATTTACTTCTTCTTTTTCAACCGCAACTTCAGGAACTTAAAAGATATGAAAAATGAATCATTAATAAAAAAGAATTTTTACATAAAACGTTACAAAAGTATCCGTCAAACAAAAATGCTTTATTTTCGATAAAATGTGCAACAAGATTTATTTAATAACAGAACAAAATATAATCTGATTCGTGAATATAATAACTAGATCGCTTACTTAAGAGTAAGCCATAAACGTTTTCAACACAAATAATTTAAAATGATCGCCAATTGAATATAGATTTTAAAAGTGCCTACGATAGTGTCGATAGAAGGTCACTGTATAACGCAATGAAAGTCAAATATTCAATATCCTAATACATTTAATACAATTAGTATAAATTGAGTGTAAAGTGAAGGTCCACAATATTTTATCAAGATTCTTTTCGACAGGCGTGGGGCTACGCCAGGGGGCAGCCTATCATGCCTACTGTTTAACATAGCTCTGGAGAAGGCTGTACGAAAATCAGGTATAGCAAATAGAGGAACCATTATTAATAGAAGCGTACAGATATTAGCATACACCGACGACATAGATATAATAGCTAGAACAAAAAGAGTATTGGAAGGGACAGCAGGGAGGCAAGGGCTGCAGGTTAACGCTCAGCTAACCCCACTTGAAGATCTGATTAGTGAACCATACACGTTCAAAGGTGTAAAGGAATTTATATACCTTGGAACCCAGGTAAATAAAAATAACATAATAACTGCAGAAATTAGAAGAAGACTGTATATGGCTAATAGAGCTTACCTTGGACTGAGAAAACTATTAATGTCAGGCGGAGTAAACTAAAACGTTTATAAGACCAGACTTCACGTATGCGTCAGAAATCAATAGGTTAAGGTGGCTGGGATATCTAGAAAGGATGGATGACAAGGAACTCCCAAAGCAAATGTTCCGCCAAACAGTATTTGAAACCCGTAATAGAGGCAGGTCTAGAAGCAGATATAAGAACCAGGTGGAAGAAAGTCTAAAAGTGTTGGGAGTTAGAAACTGGGAAGCCAAGGCACGAGATAAAAGAGAGCTGATCCTAGAACTAAGACTCACCAGGGGTTGTGGTGCCAATGATGATGATGTCCACCAATTGTTAATATCTTAAAATATCAAGAAGAAATAGATGGAAATACCCATCAATGTGATGGTTCCAAGAGCAGTGTGATCTCTTGAGAATAATAGTGCTGAATTCATACACCTCGAACTCCATAAATTTCCTGGAGTGTTCAAAAAGCGAATAAGAATAAAAGAAATTTAGTGAATTTCGATAAAGAGCTGAGACTTTAAATATCTTCGTCTTAGCAAATTTGGGTTTATATGATGAATTTAGGTTTTTAGATGGCCCTAAAAAGATCAAAAAGTAACGATGAATTAACTAGAATGACCCCAAAAAAATGCGGAATTATATCTCTGTGTCCATGTAATTTCCTATTAGCTGGATACACTTTTCTTAACTATTTTCAATAGCTTAGATCTATTGGATACAGTATGACCTCAAAATATCCATTTATATCCTTAAGATCAAACAATACGTTTACTTCTTACTTATTCTGTTAATTATTCATTATATACAATTTATTATTCAATTATTCAGTAGTAATAGTATCAGAACTAGAAATATTATAATTGAGAAATAATTGAAGGATTTCGCGTTAAATAAACATAAGGAATATGACGATAAGAAGAAAACTCGAGCAGAATTTAATACTAAGTATTAATAGTTGTATTGATACTAAATATTGCTTTATGTATCGTGGCAAGCAGCTGAGTGATTATTATCAGTCTGAGTTCTTTAAAATTCCCGTTTAGTAGAAAGACTTAAAATACGTGACTTTTGCACTATCTTTAAAAAAATTTAATTTAAGTCAATTTGAGTCAATTCGAATTATTTAGAGAATATCGTGCTGAAACTAACCTATATTTATCATTTGCTTTACACGCAAGAAAGCAATAGCAAGTCTCATAACGGAAGCTTTATCCAGCTGGCTCACTTGTTGTTGCGTTAACGGTAACGCTTCCGACATATCCGTGAATACTTGAGTTTCTCTTGATCTTCTGCACCTGGCCGCATCTCGCGATTTTTCTTTTCTTTTTTCATTATTCCTAGAACAAAATAAATATATATTAATAAAATATTTGATATTGTTGAAGAATTAGCTGTAGATTGAGTGTAGTTTAAGAGATATTGATGAAGTGAAATTAATCAACAAGACGTAACATTTTGGAAATATTCCAAGAGTTTCCCGAAAACCACGAGACCATCATATGACTATTCATTATAATCAAATAGATGCCAAAACATTCTTATTTACATAATCAACAAAAAATATAAACATTAATTCAAATATTATAATCGGATATTAAAATTTTCTCAATTTAAAACGTATTTCTCTTCTTGAATTATCTATTAGACAATTAAAACAGAGAGATAGTTTATCAATGTCGTAACGACGACCTTAGTTTTATCCAAAGATACACATTTAAGAACGAAGTAATTGACCCATTTCGTTGTATTTAACTTACATTTTCTGTTTCTTTTTAAACAAAACAAGACGAGGAAGTAATTCGAAAAAGTTTAGTTTTTAGGTTGGATGGGCGTTCGGTATGCACTCACTAACAATAAGTAACTATCAACGTTGAAATTCCAGTGAGAACTAAATTAGCATGGACTCAGTTGTGTTAAGACGGAACGGCGACGATACGACGTCGCGTCAGACGTTTCTCCTCAGTTTGCTGACGTACGTTCAGGTTCACCGGAATCAAATCAAATAAGATTCGGGTTCAAGACTTATGGAATCCCAGAGAAATGAAAAAACCAAAATAAAAAGTTATCAGGAAAACATATAGTTTTAACTTTGCAAGAATTAATTATTCAAACCAATCAACCTTGCCAAGGCGCTATTAATTTGTTTATCGGAAACTCTTAACTTGTAAATACCATAAAAAAGAATTAATTCCAATAAAACAAGGTTAAAAAACGTATTTAGTAATCTTGTTTATTACGTTGCTTTTGAAACCTTTCCAAGTGGATTTGTAATAAGCAAATAAAGAGGTGTCTTTATATTAAGATAAAATCTTGCCTAATTCAAGACAATTTTTATTTATTCGTAAATTTCATAAAAAAATTCCTAGAATTTCACTTTCTTATCAATCAAAATCATTGACCCAAAACCTTCTCCCATCAATCTGTTGCAGACATCACAAAAAGGAAAAAATTCCGAGAATCGTTACACTTAAATAACTTAAGTGATATGTCGTGACAGGTTTAATCGGGCTCAATTCTAAGAATTTTAAAGAGTGAAAGTGTGCAACAAAAACAAAATAAATAAATCTTGATCAAAAGAAGATAATCCTTATTATGTCTTCTTGAGAATGAATAATTTACGTTATTTCACGGTTGTATTTTCAAGCACGGTTTAAAACGGCTCATTTGACTTGTTAATAAGTGGAAAACACAGTGTCGAACTCGTTGAATATATGAATGGGTTACTTCCTTTGTTTGAAGTTCAATCGTATTAAGTTGTTTAAATCGAAAAACGTGCTGCGTGTATTAAATGAGAATAAAAACCGCAAAAGTAATTGAAATGAATTTTAAATGATAACCATGAAAATATTTTTTAATATTTTCTATACATTACAATTTTGCATATTAATAAATTGACGATGGTTACAAATCAATAACTAAATAATAAATATAAAAACGATGCAATAATAGTGTGAATAATCGCTTTAAGGCACAACAATCTTTCAAAACAAGATTAAAAAAACATTATTATTAGTAGATAAACCAGCAAACACTGCTCTAAAAAACAATAATATGAACTAGTTGATACTAATACAAAAAGTTTAGGTGTACTATTACTATTTTGGGTATAGAAGAACGTTTTAAACACACATAACCATTATCTCTCTCTAAGAAATAATTCTAACAAACATTTTAATCATTAATCAATAATTAGTAATATCAATAATTTCACAGATATTAACAATACGTTAATTAAATATTACAAATAACTTTTTTATCAGACTACTTAAATTATACAAGATTTTAATGATAAAATTATAAAGTTTTGTGATACATGACTTTTATTTAATTTTTATTATGGCATATTATGTAACAAATACTATATACATAATAATATCATACTTACATAAAATCTTCTATATCCACAACATTAACAAATTGGCACGTGTTATAACAACCATTAGCATAATAATTGTAACACTGATTATAATCCCAATTTTGATTATTTCTACAAGGTAATTTTGCTAATAAACCATCGGGCATAACTGGGGGTCCTCTTGAAGGAAATAAATTTGGTTTAACACCATCATAATCAAACTTCATCAATTCATCTTGATGTTGATAATAAGGGCAATTATTAAAATTAAAATTTCCACCATAAAATTGATTTTGAAAATTTCCATTTGTACAGGGTAAATTAAAAGCGTTTTCGTTACTGCAATAACTTGGTGTTTGAACTATATTTCCAAAATCTTCAATATCGATGACTCTAAATGAACCTGTTGGTGCTTTTTTATTCGCATAAACACAACTTGTCAGTTGGTTTTCAAAAACTCCGATCGTTGGACAATTCATCTTCAAAAATTCACTTTTTTTAATTCACTTGATGATCATAGCTGTGATTATACACAACTTGAATTAAAAGAGATAATGTCGACGCAAATCCAAATGTTACTGAATTACCCGCAATCACTGCTCACAGAGTAGCCCGAAAAAAAAATTTATCTAATCGCGCAGATTAATGTTCCACGATCACGGTTACTAATGATGTATCAACATAATATGTTGATATAAAAAAGTTTTTTGGAAAATAAAGAAAAAAGGAGATACTAATTGTTCAATTAGACAATGATCGAATACGAAATCGTTTATAACAAAAAAAAGAAACAATCATAAGAAGATAACTGGTGACAAGATAAACAAAAATTTTTCACCGATAATTATTTTAATTAATATTAATAATAGAATTTGTTAAAATTAGATTTAAAAACTTGAGCCTGGAATTAATTTGTAAAAAATTATTTGAGAATTATAAAATTTATTTAGCATTAACCCAGTTTGAGTTTAACGAACTAATTCGAAAGCATTAAAATTAATTAACCATTAAGTGAAACCATTTTTATTTCTTCATCGTAATTTTAAACAGCTTATTATATTTATTACGAGTAAATAAAAAAGCTTTTGAAATCAATTTAATCTAAATTTATCTTTAAATCTAACAAATCTAATATCTTATAACCTTTAACATTCACGTAGCTTCTTCATACACTGTTTTTATTTAATTTCAGAATAATGATGATTAAATAAATCTAAACTATCTTAAAACACTCCATAAAAAGACCAGATTAATTCGAAATTATCTGATTAATCCGATAATCCGAACTCAAGTACTGAGATTATAAAAATTAAAAAAAAATCTCCCAACTTTGTAAGATGCAAAAACAAAAATTACATTTTAAGTTGTTTTGAACAACTTGATATGAAAGATATACAGAAAAAAAATACATACAGACAAGTTTTAAAATATCGTTGCAAAACTTAGTGTTTAGAAATATCTTTTTTTGTTGTTTCGAAATTTATTTTTTTTATAAATATCATAAGGACAAAGTGTCTATTTTGGCGAAATATTTTCAAAATGTGTTTCCAAGGTACCTTCAGAGTCGTCTCAAGTAGATTTCTTATCTTTAAATCGCGTCAAACATTTTAGACTAATCAATCCGAAATTAATTTTTAATATACCTTCACCACTCGGAACCGTCAGATAATGTCAAAAAGTTGTAAAAAAAACATTGATGTATTACTTGATGTAATAGCACCTTTTTCGCAATCTCCTCAGACAATGTGTACACAACCTCTCTCTCTCTCTTAAAGATGTCATTCACTACTTATCCAAAATTATTATTATTAAGCAACATATTTTTTTTAAATAATAAAATTATTCTTATAATTTTTAACATTTTACAACAACAACATTAAGATGTGTATAAAAGCATCAGAGTGCTTCAAAAATTTGGAAAAATTATCCACAACAAAAGTTATGCTTCATTATTATTAATTTGGTGTTGAAAGGACCAAATATAAACAATCAATTAATATAAACTCGACAAACAAACATTTTGATATGATAATCCGCAAATAACCGTTATCTTATTAATGATGATTTTTGTCAACCGTCTAACGTCGTTGAACTTAATTTATTTCGATAATAATAACGTCTGTTAGTAAATAAGGGGTATGAAAGGCTAGACAAATTGAACGGACACATAAAGTTAAGTGCGTCACAAAAGATCTAGAGCATGATACACAAGATGAATCTAATTAAAATACGGAGCTATGTGCTCTATGTGAGTTCGTACACGTAAAGTTTACTGCAAAACCTTGCCAGATTTATTTTTTATATTTCTAGGAAATCTCACGGTTATTTAGTAGTTGATTATATTCAGAGAATGAGGTAAATTTATTTTTTTATGTTAGAAGTTGTTAAATTAGTAGTAGGTAGTTCAGTTTGTATAAAAAAATATAAATAAAATAGTACTTTATAAATGTTTAACAACTTACATTACAAGAGAATGTAAATATGTATTAGGAGTATCCCTTGATGATAATAAAATTAATCTGTAGATTAAGGAAAAATTCTAGTTACGGAAAATTATATAATTATTGCAACCGCAACTATCAATAAAGGTAAGCGTTTACGTTTTGAATTATGGAAGTGTTACGATTGTTTTCTTTAAACAATAGATTTTCTAGGAATCAAAATGATTGGATTAATTAGTGTAGAATAGAATCCACAACAACCTCTGTTTATATCAACCAACATAACAACCTATTTAGTTGAATTAATTTTATCATATATGATTGAATCCTAACATCTACATTCACTCCAAAAATCTATCATTCATAAACAGCAAAACATTCTAGTGTTAACTTCATTTCTGAACAAAGCAAAACTCAAATTCATGATTTTGAGTGATTTATTTGTAGTACTGTAATGTTTTTGTATAATTAGGTTAATCCAAGAAAATACAACTTTATTATTACAATTAGAATAAGTAAGGTCAATGACTTAAAGTACGAA